CATCAATAAAAAGACCAAAATATCCCGTCTATAAGCAGAAGAGAGTTCCTGACGGCTCAGAGACGCTGCTAAAGGAGGATCAATGGAACACGCTGCTTGTGGTGACAGAGTGATGATTGGTGGCAGAGCAAGTGTCGGCCTGTCAATCAAACGGCACTGTCATGGCGACGGGGCAGAAGTGCGGCATCAGACGCTTTCAGTTCTCTTTGGCCTGACTCCTGAATGAGTCAATCTGCTGTCACTTCACCCTCGTCAAAGCCAAGCCACACAGTTTAATGTGTCACTCACTTATTTTAACCACTCAAGCCTTGATAAGATCAACAGGTGGTACCTGCCCAATTACAACGTGCACAAAATCTACAGTATACATGGCTGAATGAAGTCTCTTTAAAACCTTCAGTGTCCTCCATTAATATTGACATTCCTGGTAAAAATGAGAAAGAAGGCTGTCAAAAAAGGTTTGTTGTTTTAAATTGCAATCTTTTGCTATGAAGATAAAAAAAACCCTGCAGGCACAAGACGCCAACATGACGTCATATTGACATTGTACCTCAACATACCCCAACGTCGTGGGGACTTTGGATAATGTTTGTAATTGTAAATCGGCTTGACTGTAGAAGCCAATGTCATGTTGACATCAATTGCCAATGTCTAACCTAAAATTAACCTAAAGTCAACCAAATATCAACATCTAATCATATTACACCTTGACATTACCACTATGACATTTTTTAGATGTTGAATTTTGGTCACTTTACAACACAACCTAAAATCAACCTAATATCAACATAATTTGACGTCATTACTGGATGTCAAAATAACATGAATAAAGTGAATTTTGGTCATCATGACATAAATCTAACCAAATATTAACCTAATATTAGTCTTATGACGTTGTGTATCTGCTGGGTCAGGTCTCATTGGACACAAATAATTGGAAACACCGCACGCTTGACAACGTTTTTGTTAAATATATGCATAACTATAGTGTGCATAATTATTGGCACCCCTATGACTTTATTTATTTATTTATTTATTACTTTATTGTGATAGAAGATAATGCAGACAGGAAGTGAGTTGGAGAGAGAGGGGGAGAGATAAATATGGGTATAAAAAAAGGGCACAAGCCAGGACTTGAACTTGGGAAGGCTGAAGTGCAAAGGTGCAGTATGTTGGTGCACTGCCTAAAAGGTTATCGGATACACCTCTATCAATCTACAGGGTAAAAAATATTTTTTTTTATCATTGGTATTTTTAATTTTTTTGCTCAACTGTCTGATTTATTTATAAACACAAGCATATTTATTAAATTAATTTAATATAGATGCATTTTGTTTATTTATTACTGAGCCATATTTGAGCCATCTTTCTTTATTTATTACTGAGCCATCATTTATCTATTTATTTATTTATTTATTTGTTTGTTTGTTTGTTTGTTTGTTTGTCAACAAAATCAGACATAATTAATAAAAAATTAATTATGTAAAAATAATTATATAAAATCTTTTGTAAAAAAAAAACAGGTTATGTGCAAAAGAGAGAGAGAGAGAGAGAGAGAGAGAGGGGGGGGGGAAGACAAGATCAAAATGTCCCAAATGTTATTTGTTGGTGCACTGCCCATGAGGCTATCCTGTGAAATTATAAGAGGAAAACCGCTTTGAAGAATCTTCCCATTGATATTTTACATTTTATTGCTCAACTACGAGCTTCAGTTTCATAGTGGTGTAAATTTGAGGAAAGACACTGGCCAAACACTCTCAAGTCATTCATCACTATGTGAGTAAAACCAAAAACATAGCTGTGATGATTTGTTGTGAAAAAATGTTGAGCTTCACAAAATAGGAAATAAAAGTATGTGGCCCTGGACACCAAAACCAGTCATAAGAGAACAATTTTGAAAATTGATATTAATACATCATCTAAGATCAGAATAAAAAAAAGCTTTCTGTTGATGTATAGGGTTAGTTGTGATAGCACATTGTTTGGCTGAGATAAAACTACTTGAAAATCTGGAACCTGAGTGTTCCTAAAAGCCAAATATGGAAAAAAAAAAAAAAAAAACCTGTTTAAAAATGTTCAAATTGAGTTTTTAGCAATGCATGTTAGTAATCAATGATGCACATCACATTTCTAATCAGCCAATCACACGGCAGCAACTCAATGCATTGAGGCATGTAGACATGGTCAAGACGATCTGATGGAGTTCAAACCGAGCATCAGAATGGGGAAGAAAGGTGATTTAAATGACTTTGAACATGGCATGGTTATTGGTGCCAGACGGGTTGGTCTGAAAATTTCAAAAACTGCTGATCTACTGGGATTTTCATGCACAACCACCTCTAGGGTTTACAGAGAATGGTAACCACTTGTTACAACTGATTTATCCAAAAGAGCATCACTGAATACAATACATCCAAGCTTGAGGTGCATGGCCTACAGCAGCAGAAGACCACATCGGGTGCCACTACTGTCAGCTAAGAAACTGAGGCTACAATTGCACAGGCTCACCAAAATGAGGAAAACTTTGCCTGGTCTGATAGGTCTTGATTTCTGCTGCGAAAATCGGATGTTATTGTCAGAATTTGATGGCAACAACATGAAAGCATGGATCTATCCTGCCTTGTATCAATAGTTCAGGCTGCTGGTGGTGGTGTAATGGTGTGGGTGATATTTTCTTGGCACACTTTGGGCCCATTAGTACAAATTGAGCATCGTGTACACGCCACAGCCCACCTAAGTATTGTTGCTGACCATGTCCATCCCTTTATGACCACAGTGTACCTATCTTCTGATAGCTACTTCCAGCAGGATAATGTGCCATGTATTAAAGCGTGAATCATTTCAGACTGGTTTCTTGAACATGAGAATGAGCTCACTGTACTCAAATGGCCTCCACAGTCACCAGGTCTCAATCCAATAGAGCTTTTGGGATGTGGTGGAACGGGAGATTTGCATCATGGATGTGCAGCCGAAAAATCTGCAACAACTGTGTGATGCTATCATATTAATATGGACCAAAATCTCTGAGGAATATACCTTGTTAATTCTATGCTACAAAGGATTAAGGCAGTTCTGAGGGCAAAAGAGTGTCCAACCCGGTACTAGTAAGGTGTACAGTATCTAATAAAGTGGCCGTTGAGTGTATATAATACAGTACAATAGACATTGTATTTTTTGTAATTTCCAATAACTAATTGCTTTGTGTTTGCCATTGTGACAGCACAAGCTATTGTACTATTTATTTAGCATAGTATTGAGGTTAAAGTGCATTTTAAAGGTTTAATTACTGTATGTTTATAAGTTTAACCAGGTTTGCAACGATGGATTTTTTAAAAGGGGTTTAATAAAATTGCCCTTAAGAATTAAACATCACATAATTTACATTTCACAGAAGTGCTAACTGCTAAGTTCGCCCTCAACTGTAGTAATATACTTGAAGTCAAAATTATTAGCCATCCTGTGATTTTTTTTTTCTTTTTCAAATATTTCCCAAATTATGTTTAACAGAGCAAGACATTTTAACAGTATTTCCAATAATATTATTTTTTTTCTGAAGAAGAAAGTATTATTTGTTTTATTTCGGCTAGAATAAAATAATTTTTTAATAGTTTTAGAACCATTATAAGGTCAATATTATTAGCCCTCTTAAGCATTTTTTTTTTACAATTGTCTACAGAACAAACCATTATTACACCATAATGATTTGTCTAATTACCCTAATTTGCCTAATTAACCTAGTTAAGCCTTCAAATGGCACTTTAAGCTGAATACTAGCATCTTGAAAAATATCTAGTAAAATGTTATGTACTGTCATCATGTTTAAAATTCTTTTTTTTTCCATTAAACAGAAACTTGGAAACTTGCTTCTATTTACCAAGGGTGCCGTTATTAATGAAGGGTGCCACAATAAAAAAAAAAAGAAAGACACTCTTGACAAATCAAATCTGTAGCAACTTATTCTTATTATTCGCCTCCAGATGTCTATTTGGCAACAATGTGGAATATTCCTCAAATTATGCCACTAAACTGAAAATATGCTGAACAAAATCCCAAAGACAGATGCAGTTTCACAGGCTGAGACTAGAGATATAGAATATGTCATTATTAATTTATGATTAAGAAAATAAAATAGTATACAAATGTCTAATTACAAAAATCTAAATTAGCAGAATACGAAAAAATATATCTGGTAAATTTCCTCAATTCACTCAATATTAGCAGACAAGCAAAACCAAATGTTCTGGGTTGCTCCTCAATAGAGTTTTTCATTTGTGTATCAGATTAGCTCATCCTCACCACATGGTGTCTCTCTCCAGCCAGAAAAAAAAACACACACACATGCCTCCACAGTCCAAACTCAGAGTCAGATTTTGGGCCTGACAGACAGGTCTGCAGGAGGAGGTGGTCAGTGGGGTTTCCTGAAGCACACAGTTCTCTATTGTTTGTATAGAAGTGCATATCATGGTGTGACCATGACATTTATCCCTATTTGAAATATTTTAATTAGGATGATAATAAAGACATCCACTATGGATGTCAGTGCAATGATACTTACAGATGCACTTATTCAGATAACTAGAGATCATGATTCTCCCATGACTCTGAAAAAATAACTGAACGCTATGCAGCTTACTAAAAGTTCTCACAAAATGTTTATTGCTGCAATGTTTTAAACGTATACTTGTATGCGTGTGTGCATGTGTGTTCACTTGTAAAGACTTTTGATAACTGGAATTATTTGTGTTTTTGAACAAAGTTTTTGAATTAATCATTCACTTACTGCACTGAATGAGTCAGTGTTTTGAATGAATCTTTTTTAAATGAATTATTCAATGACTCACTCATTAAAAGACATTTCACTTGCTTCATTACTGGATGAATCAGCGTTTTTAATTATTCACTTGAATGCCTCAATGACAAACATGCTGTAAGTACAACACCATAGTTTTGCTGCAATTGCTGATAAGCTAATGTTTAGTCATATTTAAAAAAGGACTGACCTGATTTGGTGTAGATGTTGTAGATTTCGTCATAATCTGGCTTGACAATGTTCTTTTTAGTAGGACTAGAGACCGGAGACTTTGGGGCTTGTCTAGGGAAGACAGGCAGAACTCATTGGTATTGTGCAAACGCATAAGAAATAATTAGAATAATACTTTTATTTAATTACAATATTAACATGCAACAATTCAACATGAGCGTTTTGCTTTCTAAAATTCCAATGTTCTTTCTGTACACAATTTCTGCATAATTATGTACCGTAGGAATTATGCAAATCAATAACAACACAAACCTGCATGCCTTAAAAAAACCCCACCATGAACACTTTGCACATTGCTACTCAAAGTGCTAAGTTGTGAACAATGAAGCAAACAGTCTGAAATCTGTCTTTACTGGGTCTGTACAAAATCACACCTGAATTAGCTGGAGTTCTTAATACTCTTTCAAGCGATGGAATATAAATGTGATATTAATATAATATGATGTTAGGGATTGTAGGTCTCCATCTTTAACCAATGTGAATCATCTGATCATTAACCTCCCATTTTCTCTGCCTCGCTGTCTGGGGCTCTTAGGTGCCTGTGAGCGGCTGTCATGGAGTCAGTGGTAATAGGAAGGGCTCCAACAACAGTAGAAGTCTAGAAAACAGTCTAAAACTCTAAGTTACATACACAAACACACACACACACACATATACACACACACACCTCATCAGTCCATGGAGGTTGTCTGTGGCTTGGTTATTAGTGTCACCCTGCGCGGACAGCTAAAGTGTTGGACTTACTTTTCATTTCCTTTCCAGCCTCACCATCTGGATTCCTATTATACTATAGGTGTGCCAAAAACAAAATTCGAGGAATAATTTGCAACAATGAAAAACTATTTATTATAATTATTCATTCATTAATTTTCTTTTCGGCTAAGTGCCTTTATTAATATGGGGTCGCCACAGTGGAATGAACCGCCAACTTATCCAGCATATGTTTAACACCCATCACAAATATCCATACACACTCATTCACACATACTACTGACAATTTAGCTTCCATACACTTATTTATTTCATATTTATTATTATTATAATTATTATTAATATTATTATTATTAAATATAAAAAAAAAACATTTATATAACATTTAAATAATATTTACAATGGGTTTTGACTAATATTTCCCTGGTTTAAGCCTTGGCTGGGTCAATTGGCATTTCTGTGTAGAGCTTACATGTTCTTCCCCGTGTTCGCTTGGGTTTCCTCTGGGTGCTTTGGTTTCCTCCAAAGTCCAATGACATGCCTTATAGGTGAATTGGGTAAGCTAAAAATTGTCCATAGTGTATGAGTGTGAATGAGTGTGTATGGATGTTTCCCAATGATGGGTTGCAGCTGGAAGGGTATACACTGCGTAAAGTATATGCTGGATAAGTTGCCGGTTCATTCCACTGTGGCAACCCCAGATTAATTATGAGACTAAGCTGAAAAGAAAATGATTGAATGAATGAATGACCTAAATGCATTTGCTGCATTATATTACTATAAATTGGTATAATTCGGTATTTAAGTACTTTTCTTAATATTTGCAATATTATCAATTTCTGTGATATTTAACATACAATTAAATAATCATTGTTGTATAAAAAAAACTTGACTAATAAGATAAGCCCATGTAAGTCAATATATTATGAAATACCATATAGTAGCAGCAGCAGCAGTAGCCATTGTTGCTATTACTACTATTTTAAAATAAAATTACCAATAGGGCTGGGCATTATATCATTTCAGCATCGATATCGCAATGTGCGCATTCGCAATAGTCACATAACAAGGATATGTAATGTCTGAATTATAGCTGACCAGGAGCCACAGAATTGTATTTAGTCACTGTATTTATATGGAACTTATATGATTATGCACAAAAATGTTTCTTACTTAGAAATTGTATTTTGTTTCTAGTCCAATTATCTACATGTCAAAGTGAAAACAAGATTGTTTTAATTACCCCACTGGCAGACAACTTCCTTAAAACAAGCAAAAAAACTTCTGACATTGAAAACTAACCAATACTTTTACTTGGTCTCAGACTTTTTTTTTTTTTTTTTGATATTTAGAATAGGGATGTCCAGATCCAATCATGTGATTGGAAATCTGGCCCAATCGTGCGGTTTCAGACTCGATCAGAATCAGACGTTACCTTCCTGATCAGGACTCAAATATATGTATATTCTATTTTTTAACACATCTATAGTTAAGTGGTGGCATAGAGTTAGACCTCTTTCTTGACACAGAAACAGCAACGCATGCGACATGACATCACTTTGTTGCAGAGACGCTATTGATTAAATGCCGGCAAAGTAAAACACGGAAGCAGCTTGAAGCGGAAAGCATGAGTATGTCTGCGCTCTCGAGGTATTATAAAGTTAATGATGACAACATTGCCATAGCAGACCATGAGGTATGTAAACTTAAGATTGCCTGCCAGATATTTTAAATTGAGGTGATATTTGTTTTTAATGTTAGATTTCTTTATATTAACTGTTGCACTAAAGTCCAAAAGTTAAAAATTTGTTATTTATTACTTGATTGTTCAAGCTACCTCGCAGAAATGCTTTGTTTGTTAACAGATTTGTTAAATGTTATAATGTGGTGAATTAATTAATAAATAAGGAACTTCATGGATCTGTTTCTTTGATCTTCTTTATTCTTTTTATGTATTATAGAAGTATCAGATTGGGATTCTGTATCGATATACTCGGTATATTTTGGTATACTCAAAATTAAATGACTCGGACTCGAGGATAAAAAATCTGATCAGGACATCCCTAATTTTGATTTGATTAGAAACAAGACAAAATAAAACCGTCAAGCAAAGCTATTCAAACTGTCGTGTGAAACTTTATTCATATTGCAATATTTATTGCAGAAATATAAAATTTGCTATCTCAGGTTTGTCCAATATTGTGCAGCCCTAAAGTCTAAAATAAAATGCTTGAAATTGCAGTATAAAATAACATGCATTTATTCAAAATTAATAGTAATTATATATATATATATATATATATATATATATATATATATATATATATATATATATATATATATATATATATATATATATTATAAAACATTAAACAAACTAACTGATCCTAAGTCAAACTACTTAACCACATCAAAGTTTTGAGGAAGAGCAAAAAATAGCATGCGCTGCACTTCATGGACAGTTTGAACTTGCTCTCCTCATCAATCAGGCGCTGGTGAATTACACTCTCTGACTCACTCACAGGAATCAATAAATTCAGTGCCGCGCTGCCGGAGTCTCTCTGCATCAGGAGCACTGCATAATTCTGCTTTAGACATGCTTTGAAGACCAAATGAGCATCTCCAACAGGTTACAGGATGCATCAGATGCATTAAAGTCAGACAGAGTCATGTTTGGAGGAAGATTAGGAGCAAAGTGACACCGCCAAGGGGAGTAAGATGTCATTTAGGCTTCTTGAGTTGGAGAGTGCGCTAGAAAGGTAAGCGCAGAAGTGGATGTTGGAAAAGCTTCTGAAATGCGATATCAATGCAAAGCAGGAGATGCCTAGATGTTGAAAATGGAGGAGGGGTGTGTTTGAAATAAATAGATGAAACTCTTGAAGTGATGCAAATGCAAATCTGGTGGGTTACTCTGGAGCTAAAAACAGCAAAGAGTGAATTTGAGAGCGTGTTTATTTCTCAGTCAAACACTCTGTCCATTTGAGATTTACTGTACATATATTTATCCAAATTGATGAAAAGGACTTGATGGTCAACTCTAGTATTAACTAGATTCAGTGGATGGCATTATAAAAAAAGGGTTATTGAGTGGTTCTTTAGCTTATAATCACAGCCATAAAAAGAACATGTAATGGTGCTCCAGAGGTTATGGTTTAGGGATGGTTAAGGTCTCTTCAAAAAGCAACAACAGTAATAATAATAAAAAATACTATTACTACTACTTCATATTCATATATATATTCTAACAACGGTGCAACATAGCACCTACACTGCCTGACAAAGTCTTGTTGTCGATCCCAGTTGTAAGAGCAACAAATAATAACTTGAAAGAGACAGAAGGTAGATTTTTCCAATCAATCATCTCTTGAACTGCGTTCCAAATCATCACAAATACTGCAGAAGACCCACTGGAACCCGCATGGACCCAAGATTTTCACAGAAATCAGTTAAGTTTGGTGAAGGAAAAATCACGGTTTGGTGTTACATGCAACTTCTTCCAATTCTTCAGCAGGATAGCACTCCTTCTAATACTTCAGCCTCCACAATAAAGTTCCTGAAAGCAAACAAGGTCAAGGTGCTCCAGGATTGGCCAGCCCATTCACCAGAAATGAACATTATTGAGCATGTGCAGGGTAAACTGAAGGAGGCCAAAGATTCCAAAGAATCTTGATGAACTCTGGGAGTCCTGCAAGAATGCTTTTTCCTTAAGTTGAATGAATATCTTGAATGAATAATTCAATGACTAATTTAAAAAGGCTGCATTGGCTGAATCTGTGCTTTGAATGAATCTGTTTAAATGAATGATTCAGTGACTCTATGTGCTTCACTACTGGAACATCAGCTGTGCTCAAAAAAAAAAAAAAAAAAAAAAAAAAAAAAAATATATATATATATATATATATATATATAAAAGTATTTTATTTTATACAATATAATGCTTATTCCAAAATATTTCCTTTTATTATAAATTACTATAGTATTTTAAATGTGTAACATCTGGTTTCATTGGATTCTTATTTTATTTTATTTTATTTTAGCTGTTATATACTATATTTGTTTCTGTTTAGTACAGCATATTATTTACAGTAAATAACTGAACTGAACTATTATGCCGTATATGTTTCATTGGCAGTTTTATTGATCACTAAGGTATGATTGACTTGGATTTAAGTTGCTTAGATTTAAAAATGAAAATTGTAAAAATAGCTTAGATGTAGCCAAGCTACTTTTGCCATGTAGCTTTTAGCTTAGCTTGCTACATTTCCCAGGGGGTGGCTTTTAGTGTAGTTAGGCTACATTTTAGGTAGAGTAGCTAATAGCTTAGCTCACTACATTTTACA